CTCCCATAGGATCCCGATCCCCCATAAGATCCTGATCCACTCCCTTGGGAACCCGATCCCCCATGAGATCCTGATCCACTTCCCAGGGATCCCGACCCCCCATAAGATTCCAATCCACTCCCCTGGGATCCTGATCCCCCATAAGATCCTGATCCACTTCCCAGGGATCCTGACCCCCCGTAAGATCCCGATCCGCCCCCGTAGGATCCTGAATCATCCCCGTAGGACTCAGGGAGCCCGTAGGATCCTGAGCTGCTCCCGTAGGAGCCTGATCCCCCATAGGATCCTGATCCGCTGCCTGCTTGGGATCCGCTGCCTGCTTGGGATCCGCTGCCCCCCTGGGAGCCAGGTCTGCCTGATCCGGACCCAATTCCCCCGTGGGATCCTGGTCTACCCCCATGGGATCCTGGTCTGCCCCCATGGGATCCGGGTCTGCCCGATCCAGATCCACTTCCCCCCTGGGATCCTGGTCTTCCAGATCCGCTGCTCCCCTGGGAGCCAGGTCTCCCCAATCCTGAACTGGATCCTCCATATGATCCCCCATAGGATCCTGGCCCACCTCCGTAGGATCCAGATCCTCCATAGGAACCGGATCCTCCATAGGATCCAGATCCCCCATAGGATCCTGACCCGCCCCCGTAGGATCCAGATCCGCTTCCTCCTTGGGATCCGGGTCTGCCTGATCCCAATCCAGCCCCGGATGATCCCGAACTGGATCCTCCCTGAGATGAGCTGGGTCTGCCCGATCCGAATCCGCTTCCCCCTTGGGATCCAGGTCTGCCTGATCCAGATCCACTTCCTCCTTGGGATCCAGGTCTGCCTGATCCGGATCCAGTTCCATAGGATCCTGAACTGGATCCTCCATAGGAGCTGGCTCCCCCATGGGATCCGCCTCCCCCATATGAGCTGGGTCTCCCATAAGACCCAAGTCCGTAGGATCCCGGTGGCCCATGGGATCCCGGTGACACGAAGGATCCTGAGCCATCCCCGGAGGATCCCGGTCTGCTCCCATAGGATCCTGGCTTGCCCCCAGAAGATCCTGGTGACACGTAGGATCCCGAAGAGCTTCCACCTCCCTGGGAGACTCCTGAGCCGCTGTAGGATCCCGATCCACCCCCATAGGATCCCGATCCGCTCCCATAGGATCCTGAATTGCCAGAGGATCCCGATCCAGCATAGGATCCCGATCCACCTCCATAGGATCCTGATCCGCCATAGGATCCCGATCCGCCATGGGATCCCAATCTGCCTCCATAGGATCCGCCCATGTCCCCGTCCATCTGGGGGCTGAGGAATCCAGCGGGATCCTTGCAGGGATCCACCCCGGCTGTCAGCGGGGCCAAGCGGGATCCCGAGTCGCAGCGGACGAAGGCATCTGGGCCAAAAGGGGGGGGTGAGCAGCTCCAAGGGCATCCCAGTCCATCCCAGTAACCCCCCATCCCTGTCCCATCCATCCCTGTCCCTCCCAGTTCCCATCCCAGTCCCTCCCAATCCATCTCAGTCCTTCCCAGTCACCCCCAGTCCATCCCAGTCTTCCTCTTCCCCACAGTCTCCCTCCCAGTCCCTCCAGTCTCTATCCCAGTCTCCCCAGTCCCTTCCAGTCCCCTCTAGTCTCTCCCAGTTCCTCCCAGTCACCTTCCCAATCCCCTGGGTGGGAAGGAGAACCCAGTCCCCATCCCAGTCCCTCCCAGTATACCCCAGTCCCCATCCCAGTCACTATCCTAGTCCCCTAGGTGGGATGGTGAACCCAGTCTCCATCCCAGACCCCATCCCAGTCTTTCCCAGTATACCCCAGTCCCTCCCAGTACACCCCAGTTCCTCCCAGTATACCCCAGTCCCTCCCAGTACACCCCAGTCCCCATCCCAGTACACCCCAGTCCCCATCCCAGTCCCCTAAGTGGGATGGTGAACACAGCCCTCATCCCAGTCCCTCCCAGTATATCCCAGTCCCCATCCCAGTCCCTCCCAGTATATCCCAGTCCCTCCCAGTACGCCCCAGTCCCACCTGGGAGGCACAGGCAAAGCAGCAGGAGCCGGAGGGCCAAGGGCAGGCGGGGGCCGGCCATGGCCGGGGACATCGGGGACATCGAGGACATGGCGAGAGC